CTGGAGGCAGGCAGTTCCTTGATCATGAGTTTTGAGAGAGAGAGCAAGTTTCAGATGGTCCAGCTCTTCTCTCTCTCTGAGTCTTCCTCGTGGCTGCTGTCCCCTCCTCCTGGGCAGTCCTTAACTTATGACTTCATTTACCTGGTCCAATGGAGGCCAGCACCTGTTGGCTGTTAGCCAACCAATTTGAAATGTATCACTAGTTGCTGGACAGACTGGCAGTTCCTAGCTCCCCAGGGAGCCCAAGTCCCTCACCCAGGTATGTGATGCCAGTCACGTAGGCAGAGGGAGCAGATTTCCCCCCTCCCTCAGGAATGTATCCAGATCAGGTTACCTAAAGAGATAGGATAAGGTGTGTATCCTCTGCTGGGCCCATCCTAACCAAATTGTCACAGAGCAGAGTTTTTGGGGAGAAACAGTGGTGGCCTTCTGCCACAGACATCTTATCTCAGATGCATGATCATTGATCCAAGTAATCCTGAAATGTTAACGCAATGTGGTTGTGAAAGAAGGCAGACATTTTTATAGTGATATTATTAATGCAGATTTAGAACAAAGGGTGACAGCATTTTGACAAACTCTACTAATCCTTACCCTCCTTTCCTTCCCTTGACTGATGTCATCACTTTACAGGTCCCTGAGGTAATTTAGAGCTGGCAGACCCTGCTCCCTGGGGGAGAGTGTCCATGCTACTAAAGCCTCCATAGCAAATGAAGTTCTCTACATCTGGCTGGGCTCCACAACTAAATCAATCATGGGGCCAACCTCTGTATTCAACCTATATAATTTTGTTTGCACTAAAGGAACGACAGATCCTGTTTTCCCATTACAAACATCAGCCACCAGACAGGACACTAGATCACCCACCAGACAGGATCCTTTAAAAGCGGACTGCCTGCTCTTGATTACAGCTACAGGAAGGAGGAAGGTTGCCACGTCAAGTTTTATTGTTCAAAATTATCCACCAATCAGTGTGGATAATCAAAATTACTCCTGAGCCTGAGGAAATCCTTAAAGGACAATATAAACCATAAGCAAAGAGTTAGTTGCTTTTTGAACATTCACTATTTGTCATATATTTTAAATATTTTTCCCTCATTTGGAGAGTCCCTCAATAATAGAATTTATTTTAAAAGAGGGGGAAATAAAGGATGATGAAGACAGATTTTTTTTTCTGGGCTTAGTTCTGTTCTCAGACCACACATTCAAAGCAGTAGAAGGTGGAACATTTGATACAAGTCTAATCCTGAATGTTGCTGAAAAAATCACAATGTCCTTAGCTCCCATGGACAGCAACTAAAGTACAGAGCTCTCACCATGTTGTAAATGGTGCCTGGTGTTATTTATTTTCATTGGGCCGGGGTGTACTTTTTCCTGGTCCCTACTAGCCAATGATTTTGGGAGGATTGGCTTAAGGACTCCTATTAAGACTGCTGCTAGTGTTAGTGGAATTGCACACAGAAACTATATTTAGGCAACGTTCACTGCCCCTTCATGTTTCTGAGCTAGCTCACTGCTGCTGACATAATAAACAGTTTCCAGGAAGGGTCAGGACTCTCTTTAGAAAAGTGAAAGACCCATAACAATTATATTAATTTTTAAATAGAGCAAGATTGCTTTATTATGTCCTTCGGCCTTCATTTCTATACAAAATGACATGAGTGGTTCCAGCTGCCCTTTACAAACAGAGAAGTGTTAAACCCAAGGTTTTGTGAAACCCTCCATGCACCCTGAACTTTGGTGGTTCTGTTAAAATGGAATCTGAATCAAAACTGCACCTGGTTTAGTTTTTGCAACCCCCAAATGGGACCCTTGCCTGCTTAGCCCCTTTCTATTTTAAGGGGCTAATTGTCTGCTAGGGGGTTATTTTTCTAGATAACACATTTTATGTGTCTGAAATGTTCTTTTTCCAGCTTGGCTTTTTTACACGTGAAATATTTTGGCTGTTGTTCTGTCTGTTATTTACAGCATACACATTTACTGAGCAGAGACAAGATTCTGGAAATGTAAACTATGCAGCATTGGCATATGCTTTATTAAGACAGATGCATTCATTCCTCTTATGCCATGTAACTGGGTTTTGCAGATTGTAGTCTGAAAATCTTCATAATCTTAGATTGAACTAGCCATTGTGATTATTGTAGAAGATGTCAGTACCTGGACATGAAGGGCATCTAAGATCTAAGACTTGGTAAAATTTTCTCATGTTAAGGGGATATATAGGACCTTTTTCTGCATTAACTCCTCTTCTCTTTTGATGTGTCCATCTCCTTTTTTCTTACAGAATCTCTGCTGTGGTTTGATGAGTGGACAACAAGACTGGGGGACCAATTTTAATACCCAGGCTCTTAAGGCTTGTGAATGTTCACAGAGCTATGAAAAAACTGATTTCTGCGTGAGTTTTGGTAGAAAATATATTTATAAAAAGGTAAGACTGATATTATTACCTTCTAAAGAAAGGTTTAGACTAAGATTATATCTGCTTTGCTTGGATGTGAAAGATTCCCTGATATTTTTCAGAAAGGAGATGTTTTCTTACTGTTTTCCTTAGCCAGTATTTTCTCTTTCAGCTCTTGTGAAGTTTGTGTGTTTCTTGGCTGCTGCTCTCTATCCTTTCAGTGCCTTCATCAGCGGCATTGCACAGTGCCCAAAAGATCTCTGCAGCCTGACTGGGTTCCCTGGTCATGACTGATCAATTGGATTCTAGGTGGGAGGTTCTGGGTGTTTAACTAACGTCTGTTGCTAAGACACTGATCTTAGTTACAGTCACATTGCCAATGAGACAATGCTCATCTGTTATCCCTGCCCAGCCATCCTCCCCGCCTAAAATGCTCAGTTCTAGTAAACATGTTTGCTTAGCCTTTACCCTGTGTTTAAAGGGCTTTGGGATATTGAAGAGTGAAACTTTAAATGTTAGGTATTTCAGTGTTGTTAATCTCTTTCTTTAAGAGAAGGTCACACTCCATTATATCTGTGGGAAGGAAATGTTATAGGCCATAGGTTTCCTGGCAGTACACTCAAAGTACAGTTTCCCCCAACTTCTGAAAAGTGTATAGCATTTAATTATATCAACAAGACAAAATAAATGGTGACAGGTAATAAAAAGAAGTTCCTCAGACATTGGCATATGAGCAGCAAAGATCTAGTTAATTTACTTCAATATTTATCTGTTTTCTTGTGTGGAACTTAGTTTTACTGAAAAAGGAAAAATGGTGAAAATCAGCAAAAAAAATCTGCAGTATTTGGAAGCCAGTAGTGCAAAATTTGCTATTATCTACATCCAGATTTCTATGAATGTCCACATTTGATCCTAGATATTTACAAATACAGAAAGCCAGTGTCAGATTTTGCTATTTTGATTTTTGTCGAGGGTTAATTTACTTCTGGGATAATTTCAGTGTGATCATGACCTTTTTGGCCAAAATGTTACATAACCATAAGCCTAATTTGAAGTTTGAAGAGTGGAATTCTTCCAGAAGCACGGATAATAGGAATCTTGGGAATGACCTAGTCCACCTTCTCCTGCAAAGCAGTATCAGTCACAGCAGAACACAGATACTTCACAGGATTAGTTTCCAAACCACCTCCCACTGACTTGAACATGTTGCTTTCTGAAGTAACCAGGAGTCTATACACCAGTAATTTTGCAGGTCTACTAAGGTGTTCCAGTCATTTGTGTTTTTTTATTTGAAAAGGCATTGCTTGCCTGATCAGCTGCATGGGACCATTGCTATGCTCTAGCTGCATGCATCTCCTTTGAAGTAAAAGCCACAGCAAACCCATGAGTGATTTATCCTTAATTTTGCAACTTGCTGTGAAGTAAATAGGTTGCCCAGCCACAATACAAATGATCCAGGTTTTACTCTATACCTAAGCATCCTGACAGAAATTTTTATCTAACAGATTCTTAAATCATGGAGATTCTATAGATTCCCTACAGATTGAATGTATGTCAGACCGCAACGTGATTTAGAGTTAGAAAGTTTTTTATAAATCTGCATTTCTTTCTTCTTGTCTATTTCCAGTAGACATTTCTAACTTTCCTTTTTACAGCAATGTTTTACACATTTGAAAGCTGTTTTCATATCTCTGCTCAGTCTTCTCACCTATAAACCAGGTGTATAAAACCCATCCAGCCCATACAACTGGATGGGTGGCACAGGGCCAATCTGCAGGCTGGATTGAGCCCACAGACCCCCTCTCTTCCCCCCACACCCTCCTCAAGCACATTAGATCTGGCACCCACTCCAGGAAGTTTGGAACCTGTGCTACATATAACGTGGGCCCCAGAGTGTCCAGAATGGATGCTGTATGTGCTAGAGTCCAGCCAGGGGTGTGTAGGTGGATCCCAGACTGGCGGGAGCTGGTGCCATGCTGCACATGGTGCCCACCTGGCTGAATTACACCAGCATCTGCTCCACCTGGCAATTCCACCACATGTGGCATCCACTCCAAAAGATAATTGCTAATGGCTCTGAGATTGCTTCATCTTGTTCCCTAAGTACTCTGGAGTGAATTTCCTCAGACTGGGCCAATTTGAAAACCTTTAAAATAAATAAGTAGTGTCTAATCTGGGACCCAAGTGCGACATGTGCAGCACAGGTCCCAGGCTGGCTGAAACAGGCCTTCATGCAGCAGATTCCGGGAGCTGCTGGGGTGGGCACCATGTGTGTCATGCATGCAGGAACAGGGGCTGCATGGGGCTGTGCCCCATGTGGGTCTGTTGAGACCCAGGGGCAGTCCCAGAGCCTTGAGGGCAGGCTCCATGGGCCAGATCTGGCCCACGTGCCAGATGCTTGATACCCCTGCTCTAGACTAAAGAACCCAGTTCCTTCCTCATAGACCTTGAGTTCTAGACCCCTGATTATTTCTGTTGCTCTTCTCTGGGCTCTCAGCAGTTGGTTCCACATCCTAGACAACATCTGTCTTGTCAGTTAATTCCTGTCTTCTGTTAATGCAACTAATTGTTCCTGCCTAATTGGGGGTACTTTGGAGTAATCAAATTACATCCTAATTTCCAACATTTTTCTAACTTGTCAAAATCATCACTTGATTTCACGCTAATCCTGTTCCCCTTGGGGTTATCCCAGGAGTGAATTAAGTGCTTGCAACTCCTTTGGTGTCACCTGAAATTTAATAAGTACATGGGCTCTTTATTCCATCGTCCAAGCCATTTTGTTACTTGGTTTATGAAGATGTTGTATGAGATGGCAAAAGCGTTACTAAAGTCAAGATATATCATCTGTACTACTACTTCCCTATTCACAAAGAAATTTACCCTGTCATAAAGTAAATTCTTTCACGGAATTGAAGTGAGGCTGATTGCTCTATTATTCCCTGGGTCCTCCTTTCCCCCCCATTTGTGAAGATAGAAACTTTGTTGCTCTTTTCCAGCCTTCTGGAGCCTCGCTTACCCTCCACAAATTCTCCAAAGATAATTGCTAATGGCTCTGAGATTGCTTCAGCCTGTTCCCTAAATACCCTAAAGTGAATATCCTCAGACTGAGCCAATTTGAAAACATTTAACATAGATAAGTAGTGTCTAATCTGTTCTCCCTAGTCTAGCCTAATTTTTATACTTTTGGTCATTAATGCATTTCACCAGGCAACCCTTTTAGAGAAGACTGAAACAGAGAGACATTAAATACTTCAACCTTCTTTGTGTTGGCCATTATTACCTTTCCTTCCCCACTTGGGGGAGGACTAATTTTTTCCTTAGTCTCTCTCTTCTGCTAATGTACTTATCTAATGTTTCCTTCTTACCTTTTATGTCCCCTCCTAGTTGTATTTTTTGTGCCTTAGCTTTGCTAACTTTGTTCCTACATACCCATGCTGTGCTTTTTCCCTAGTAATTCGATGTGGTTTACAATATTCTCTTGATTCTTTTCTCAAATTTCAAATCATGGGGGCTAACAATTTAACCAAACTGGTCCCTTAGTACAGTTTTCATTTATTCCTTAGATTGGGGTAATTTGTGCTTGTGCCCTTACTGTTTTTTTAAGAAACCACCAGTTCTCCTGAATTCCTTTTATCCTTAGATTTGCTTCCCTTTGAAATTTTCCTGACAATTCTCTGTGTTGACTGAAGTCAGCTTTCTTGATGGCCATTGTCTTTATATTAGTATTCAATCTTCTTCCATTCCTAAGAATCACAAACTCTATAATTTCATGGTTACTGGCAACTAGGCTGTTATCTACCTTCTCATTTTCAACCAATTTCTCCCTGTCAATCTGAATTAAAATAAGAAGATCCTCACCTCTGGTTGCTTTCATCATCTTCTCTATCAAAATTGTCCCCAGCAGATGTGAAGGACTTGTTGGACAGTCTGTCATGTTGTATTATTTCCCTGCAAATGTCTTGATAGTTAAAGTTTTCCATTACCACTAAGAGCTGTGCTTTATCTGATTCTGTTAGTTATTCTATAAATCCTCCACCTTATCTCCAGGGTTTGGTGGTCAGTAGCAGACCCCAACTCTTGTTTTTTACTCTTCTTACACAGAGCCTGTCAACAGGTCTATCTCCCACTGCATGCTGGGGCTCAGGACAAGTGTATATGTCATTTACTTACAATATATCACCTCTTCCTTTTTTTCCCTGCTTTTCCTTACTGAACCAAATGTGTATGTGTACCCTCTCATTGGACCATAACCTTGTCATGGTGGAGAGGTTTGTGTGTTCCAATGACGCTCAGAGCTATGTCATCTGGAGTGTTGTACTCCTGGTAGGGTGGCCCCTGGTGAACAGATGTGAGGTGAGGTCCCAGACTAGGCATGGTCCAAACTCCTGAAGACCACAACAGCAGAACAGGTGTACTTGAGGACCTGCTTGTTCTCTGTGGCTGTGAAGGTAGATAAGGGCTGCAGTGGGATGGAGGTCTCTGGTTATCTTGGACATCCTTGCCACTGGGTTCAGGGCTCCTTTCTGTCAAGCTTGTGTGGTTGTCGCTTGCGTACTGGCTTCCCTATATTAAAAGATGTCAAGCACAGGCCTTTCAGGGGTGTCCCCTGGCAGACATCATCCTCATATTGAGGGAAAGCCAAAGATTAGATAGCTAGATAGATAGATAGGTTTTTATTAGATAAGGGCCCAAGGTATATACACACTCACATCAGCATATATTAGCATTGGAGTGTGCTTATTAGCATGCTAAAGTATATGTGATTGAGTCTGCTCTGATGCACTGTAATTACAGCGCAACAGAGCAGCCTCCTGGCAGGTCTGCAGACACTCTATAATAGATGTGATTTGGAATATCAAATTCAAAAGGCAGTTTGGGAAACTGAAATTACCTTCTATACCTGAATCTTGCAGCTTGGGCCCTTATCTAATAAAAAGCAATTATAAAGAGAAAATAAAAGTATATGCTTGTTCCACAAAGAAAATGCAGTAAAAATAGCACAAGCATTACATGTTGCTATGCTGTCTTTTAGTTTGAATTTTTACCCTATCTTACATTCACCTACTAGCTTCACATATTTATTATTTGGAAAAGCAACGACCGGCTATTGGTTCTTGTTCTGGGGACATTTGCAGTGTTTGTTTGTCTGTAACAAATAAAACAAAATTAAAATAGCTTCTCTGACACAGGGTGGAATTCCTGGTAGTGTATTCCCATGTAACCAATTATTGTAGAAAACAAATTCCCAATAACCTTGTATTGTTTTTAGTTAATCTTTGCTTTTTGTTTTTCAGACTTGTGGAACTGTGATAATCAATTACCTCAAAGATCATATGATTATACTTATGGGGATTGCATTTGGACTAGCAGTTATTGAGGTATCACTATAAGCAATTAAAATGTTTAATAGCTGACAAGCAATATGTTCTACTTCATATAAATGTGCCTGGGATTAAAATACTTGAACTGCTCAACTATTAGGCAGGGTTAAACTGGCTCTAACTTTGGTGATAAACTTACTATAATTTTCTATTTCCAGTATATTACAGTAGGTCCTTGAACATCAGTCAGGACTAAGATCCCACTATGATTAATGCTGTAGCACAAGTTGCATGACACAGAATCTGCAAGGTGTTTACAATCTTATGAGTTAAATCAGGGGTGGGCAAAATACGATCTGTGGGCCAGATCTGGCTCACCAAGGGATTTTATCCAGCCCATGGCATGTCTCTCAGCCCAGCTATGGGAGGCAGCCCCATCTGTGGCACATATGGTTGGTTCCACTGCCCCAGGTGTGCAGCAGGGCTGGGGTGGCGCAGCAGCCACAGTCTGCTTTCTGGCAGCCCTGGTGGTGGCAGCTTCTTCAGGCTGATGCTGCCAGTGTTGGTGCCACCACTGCTGGACCCAGCCCTGCTGCCTGGGCACCCTGGCCCATCTGTCGTGCACCCACTACTGGGGGCCTCGGATGCAGCGGGTGGGCAGGTGGCACCACCACGAAGAATGGGCTGGGACCACCACATGCAGGGCACACTCGGCTAAGGGCTGGGGGATGGGGCCATGGGTGGGAAGGGAGCAGCATCTGGGAGTGGAATGTGGGGCTGGGGCCAGGGCCAGGGCCAGGGCTGCTGGGCAGTGACAGTATGGGGTATGTCCAGGGCAGAGCTGTCATCCACTTCCTGCACAATGGATCATGACTGGCCCAACCTGGGAGGGGGGTGAACCCCCATGACACAGCCCCCACCCCAGCACAGGGTCATGTGGGCAGCCCCAGTACAGTGCAGCTGAGGAGTGGTGCAGCCCAGCAGTGCAGATTGGTCTCAATGGGCCTCATGACTAGATTAGGCCACCCCATGCTGCTAAGCTGCACTGCTCCCCGGCCAGGCTGTACTGGGGTTGCCTGCATGACCCTGTGCTGGGGCAGAGGCAGCGGAGGCTGGGTTGTGGGCATGCACTCTGCCCCCTTCCATGTTGTGTTGGTCTTAATCCATTGTGTGGGGAGAAGATCATGGCTCTGCCCCAGCACCATGCTGTCACCACTTCACAGCCCTGGCCCTAGCTCCTCTCATCCCATTCCCAGATGCCACTCCCCACCCACCCCTGGCTCCATCCCATCTATCAATAGAGCATGCCCTGCATGCAAGAGTCCTGGGATGGTCTAGTAAGTTACCACTTAGGGAGTTTTGGTGAGCTGTTGCGGGTAAGGAGGGGAAGTGCTGACCTGGCACAGCTGGGAGTGGGGACTGCTGACAGCTCACCAAATCTCCCTAAGTGGCCCTCCAGTCTAAATAATTGCCCATTCCTGAGCTAAATAGTAATTGTACATTGTGTTCAGAGTAAGGAGTTATGACTAGTTGTGTGACCCCTAAAAAACATACCAGGCCAAGTCAGAGTTCTTCCTCACTTTGCTTTGGGGAAAGAATAATCACATAAGAGAACTATCTTTGTGGCGCACTCAGTTTAGTTTTTTAGACCAAAGTCATTTAGCTGAATATCTGCATTTTAATATGCTTATTTTAATTAAGCTGTCTAATTTGTCACCTGGCACTTCTCCAAGTTTATTCATTAGTATTTGATGGAATCTGGAGAACTTTTGACTACTAGAGTAAAAAGAAAAACCTCCTAATGATTTTGATTGACTCTGGACTAGGTTGATAAAGAGTTATTGTGACAGGGGGCCATCTCAAGGCTGGGTCTCAACCTTGGCCTGCCCACCTGTCTAAGTACGCAAGTCCACCAAATCTCTCCTGCCACGACTTGCTGTTCCCCAAAACTGTTGAAAATGTGGGAGGCTGCCCATTTTAATGTCCCAAAGCCAGAGGGCATTGTCCATGGCTCTGTACCACCCCTACACCATGGTCCATGCCTTGCAGATGGCACCCATGTTGCTCCAGTGCCCCACACTGTGACCCGAGCTCCAGAGTCTCACTTGGGACTCTCACTCCCTACTGGAGCTCACAGTCACAGTGCCCTCACACTGGGCAGTGTTTAACCTTTTGACCTAAACTTGGCCTCACAACATCTAAGGGCTTACTGGGGTCTCCCTCTGACCCAACACTCAGCCTCACCATGTCTTACCAGGGCCTCAGCCTCTGGTTCAACTATGGCCTCAGGTGTTCATAGATTTACCTTGGTCTAACTGCCCCCTTCCTGAGGCCTCAATTTATGTCCTCCTACTAGGCCCTTCCTCCTATTCAGGTGGACTCAATCCCTGTGAACATGCAGGGCTGTCAGCTCCCTACACCTCGTTCCCGCTTGGGTGTGGCTCCCCTCTGAGACCTTTAGCTACACAGGCCCTGGCCCACCTCCAGGCCAGTCAGAATCTCAGGCCCCCTGGCTCTGGGCATCCCTTGTGGTGGGCACTCTAGCCCTTTTGACCTTCCTGGCCCTGGCCTCAGCATTGACCAGTTGAGGGTTTTGTCTAGGCTCTCGCGCTGCTCACCCACCCCCTCTCACTGCTGCCTGTCCGTACTGGAGACCCACTTTGCACCCCCTCCCTGGGGCTCGGGGTCTTGCACCCCATGGGATCATGTGTCCATCTTAACAATACCACTCTACACTCAACTGGGCTCATCTGAGCCCCAGGTCTCACCCCTGCCTGTGGGCTAAATCAGGGGCTTGCCTAGTCCCTATGTAGACCTGCAAGCTCTCAGCCCCTTTGCTAGGCTGGCCTCCTGATGTTAGGCCCAAAGGCTTTTCCTCAGGGTTTGGGACCCTACTGGGCCCCAGGAACCTCCTGCCATCTCCATATAGTTCCTCCCTTACCTCCGAGGTGTTATGAGCAATGGTATAGCCAGGTGTTGTTGCTCCCCAGCTGCTTGCAGCAGACTGCTGCCTCAGCCCTGAGAGCCTGGATCATAAAATGGTCACCTCATCAGGGCTGGCCTGCACCTGCCGGCTGCCTGTTCTCAGCCTTAAAGTGCACTGCCACAGTTATCAATTTTACCCTTCAAAATACATCAATTAAGGATAGCCAAGCACTGTCTTGACTCAAGCCAAGAGCTCAAGTCAGTTACATGAATCTTAGTTGTAGTTAAATCACAGCTCTTATAATGGAAATATTATGATGTAGAATTATTGCTTCAAGGATACTGTTCAAACATAGAAGAGATTTTTTGTGCTGGTTTATATATTATAAAATGTATTTATATGTTTATATATTTTAACATATAAAAGAGCAGTATGCATTATTGGAATGTTTGTTATATTTATTTTAATTGTTTAATTATCCAGTGAATGACACAGTAAATTTGCTCTAAATGAACAAAAAAAAAATCACAATTTTATCTAAACAGCCATTTGACTAAATTAGGCTTTTATTAGAAGATGACTAAGAAGGGATTTAATTACTTTGACTTATTCTATCATTTCACATATTTTTCATTATTCCTTTATGGTTACCTTTCACCCCTCCTCCCCGCCCCCCAACCTCTGAAACTAGATGTTTGAGGTAAAAGCAGAAAAAAGTGTATTTTGCAGTGTTCAATCTGTTATTCATACTGAAAACATATTATCATTGTAGTTCTGCTTTGGCAGAGAATTATTCTTCCTGGTTGAAAAAGCAGTCAAGTTCTCTAACCCCAAAATACATTTCCAGGAAAATAGTAAGCAGGGAAGAGTTAGTACAGTCAAAGCTGTTGAGATGGCCTGGCACTAACTTCTCACTTGGAATAGGTTGGGGATTATTTCAAGAGGCAACCTGTGGTAGGTCAGGTCTCTAGCTTTCTTCAGGAGGGAAAGTTCAAAGCACAAATGAGGAAAAATAGATCAAATGTGGCAAAAAGAAACACTTCCAAAATGTAGTTTAGAAATTATAGAAAGAGTTATTTTGTCTATGAAAAATAGATTTCAATCACTTTGATATAGTGATGACAGCAACATCAATTTTCTTCTTAAATGTCATTTCCTTGGCCAACCTTCTGCCACTTTTCTGCAGTTGAACACTTTCCATTGCTGTTGCCTTTCCTGATCATGAGGAGGGCTGAAAACAAAAGAAAGATCCAAGACAAGGAAACTTAGGTAGTCCAAATATTCCCAGTGTTATTAACTTAGGTAGAACTATGAAAGTTCCTATCACCTCTGTCTCCAAGATGTTAACATATTATGCCATCTTGCATGATTGCCTATCAAAGGGCACATAAGTCCATCCTATAACAAAGAAACAAAAAGTGCCAATCTAAAGCTTCCCCTCATCTCCTCTTTTGCCATCTATATGCTGATCTTTTGTTCACTCATTTTGTTATTTCTGTCAACTAGACTGGTACCAATTTGAATCAGGGATTTTAAAAATTTAAGACGGGTGCTAGTGATAGGCTTATTTAGCTCTTCAGTGAGGTTGCATTTGCTTCTGACAGCAATGAGCTTGCCTCTTTTGTTTTACTTTATAACTGTTTATATTTCCCAGTGAATGCCTCTAAAGTGAGTTCAATGTCATTGTTCTGTCGCTTCATAAATAATGATTGGGATCTTTCCAATTTTTCACTTAGCACACCATAGATTGATTCATTTTAAGGCCAGGACAGATCATTATGATCTTGTAACACAATACTGGCCACAGAATTTCACACTGTAATTTTCACCCCAAAGGTACATGCTATTTCAATTTGATTTAAAAAAAAAACCCAATTCCTTTAATAGGCTCAAAAGTTATAGTCTGGTCAGATTATTGGTAGATTTTAAAAAATTTTGTGTAACCATTTAGCACCTGAAATGATGAGAGTATAGCTGCTATAGCAATATGTTTACATCTGTATACACACACATACATACACACACACACATAAGTTACTGAAACAGGTCAAGGTAAAAATAGAAAAGAAATATTTTAAACAGGAGGAAATTTGGTATGTAAAACTAAGTCTGAGAAGTTTTTTAACCTCTTAGTTAAAAAAATAAAATAAATTTTCATCCAGGGTTCCATAACTTTTGAGTATTTCCTGCCTTGTTGCACATAATAGCTGCATTTAAAAATCTCACAGCTGAAAAAGGGGTTCTGATCCAAAGGAGCAATCCAGCTTTTGAAAGCAGATTTAAGTTTTCCATGATGTCTCCAAGCTTCCCGGCAGTACAGTCTAATTTAATTAAAATCCTAATATTCTAGTGTTATGCTCTTAAGAGTTACATTGGAAAAGATCTTCTTCACAGCAGATTAAGCCTGCATATAAATCCAAGACATTTGCAAACAAAATGTTCTGTGTACCACTTTTATGTAGGGTTTACAGAACTGCTAAATAATACCATAATGTCTTTGTTTTCCAGATTGTTGGTTTGGGGTTTTCTATGAGCCTTTACTGCCAGATCAGTAGAAAATGAAACTGTGGAAATGTCGGAACTATGTCACCTGCCAAATCAAAACCTTTATGGATAGACAGATATTTGGCTTGGCACATTTCTATAAATACCTGAATGTCAGAAGCAGCTGTTTTGATAAAAACAGCAACCCCGAAGCCTGCAGATTTTTCACAAGTTGTAAAATGATCTCTTTAAAATTAATGAGATTTAATGAGGTGTATGTGAATTTTTATTTGCAATAAATGTCTTTGTTTACACTTATGATTACCTTATTTTGTCCAAAGATTACATTTGAGGGATGCTGACATTTTTAGTTTAGCATGCAATATATCTACTACATAGTGATAAAGTCAAGAGTTATAACACACATCTGCAAATGATATTGCAATGGTCAGCTGATTTTGTGAATCACACAATTCCATGGCTGGTACTACAGGTTAACAAGAAAACATGTATAGTATTATAGAAAGGATTTTGTTACTTCTGATATTCATAGCATTCAATAGTCACTCAAAAAGGGACCTCATAGATAAATTTATTTTGAAAAAATGGACATTAATAGGTTTAAATTCTGCTGAGAATGCCCCAGCATACAAGAGAGATTTAGGGGACATATTTGCTAAGTATGCATAAAAATAGAATCCAAGTCTTTTTTGAAGTACATGAAATTAATATATATTTTTCCAAGAAGACAAAGTTACATTAAGATTGAATAAGCAGGGCAGCAGATTTCAGAGCAGAAGGTTAACAACAGAAGATTGGAAGAAGATGGATTAATTTGGATTCATCACTGTCCCAGGGATGCCGGGGCTATAGGGAAACCCTGGGCCAAAATAGAAGGGGAAGAGAGCCCTACTTACCATTCACAGGGGCAACAGAGGAGCATGCGCTGGAAAACCGCCCGCACGGTTCATTAGCTGCGCTCATATTCAGCTGGGGCTGGGTGACGTCAGCAAGAGATGCCACCCCGTGGAAATAAAGGGCAGCCCCAAGGGCACAGGCCAGATGACCAGAGAGCCCACAGGGGAACCCGAGGCCGGGAGCGCGCACCCACAGGGTCTGCCTGCCCGAGACGGTGAGGGCAGCTGCAGCTGCGGAAGCAGTGAGAGCCTCAACAGCAGAGAAGCTGGCAAAGGAGCTGGCAGAGGAGCCGGAGCAGAAACCGGCAGAGAAGCCGGCAGAGGAGCCGGAGGAGAAACCGTCAAAGAAGCCGGCAGAGGAGCCGGCAGAGCAGCTGACAATGAAGCCAGCGGAGGAGCCGGCAGGGAAGACAACAAGAACGGAGGAGACAGCAGGAGCAACGATAGCGGAGGGAGTATTGAAAGCAGTGAAGGCAGCGAGCAGGGGGAAAGCCGGAACAGCTACTGAGGAGCCTGGAGCCGAGGGACAGCGAGGAGCAAAGGCGACAGAAGTGAGATGGGCAGAAACCCTATCAGGGATAGCTGCGGTGGAGACGGCGGGAAGTCCCAAACCGGGAAGGCCAGTGGAGTTAGGGGGCCGGCGGAGAGGCCCACAGTGCCTCCAAGAGGAGCCAGCCAGGGCTTTAGGACCTCAGGGGACTACAGCTACATCCCCGGATAGGAACTGTGCCTAAGGGACAAGCACCCAGACCCTGGGACACCAAGGCACCGGGGAATCACAGGGTTCCACGGGCTGGGGGCTCGCTACTTTCCTCATAGGCTCCTTCTTGCCTGACGATTGCTCCTCCCCGGCAGTCACGGTGGTGGGTTTTTCACGTGGGGGCACAGTGGGTACTGGAATAGGGGTAAGAGTTGGCAGGAATCAAGGGCCTCTTAGCCTCCACTCCAGAGCCCAGCCTGGGACACCAGGTCCCACTGCTATAGGACAATGGGAAGTCCAAGAGAGGAAACCAGGAGGGGCCAGTAATAAAGTTAGACTTGGAGACCCGCGGCAGAAGGTGGTGTTTGGCTGGGGTGTAGGGGAGGTTGGAGCCCTGTGAGTGCCCGCCAAGGGGCGTGACGACCCTGGAGGCTTCCTCAAAGGGGACCCCCTCCACTGAGGATCCATCAAAAGTCATGGCAGGCGATGTCATCCAAGGTACCCTCTGGGGTCCACTTGCAGGCCCGGGACAAACCAGGTCAACTGCCCGGGCAAAAGCCGCTTGAGAATGCCTAATAGAGCAAAGGCGGGCACAATCACATTACCTGAATGCAGTTGGCATTAAGATTTACATTTTTAATTATATTTAGGAACCTAAAGATTCAGATGGCCACCTAATAAGATTGCACAAAAGTCCTTAGTTGCTGGATTTTGAAGAATTTGGTGCCTAGTTGCTCTTGAAAATCCTACTAGGTCAGGGGTGGGCAATTATTTTAGCTGGAGGGCCACTTACCAAGTTTTGGTGTGCTGTTGAGGGTTGCAAGGGTAGCCCCACCCCTTGACAGGTGCCCTGCTCCCTGGTTGCCATCTTGGGAGCAGAAGTCCTGCCCCCTAACCCTGATCTTTGCTACTGGGAGTCCCTCCCCTTGCCCCCAGAAGTACTCCTTTAGGGAAGGGGCTTAGCCATGTTGACACCAGAAAAAAACCGAAATTACATACTGTCATGACCCAAAAGGCATGATTGTGTGTGTGTGCTTCGGCACCAGAATTATCCCCGTCAAGTTGCAGAGCATTGCACGGGAGTGTTTCCTGTTGCAGAGGAAACCCCAGTGCAGGGACGAGTTTCCCGCCTTTTCTGCAGCTTCTTTTGCAGAGTGCATTG